CAGGTGATCTGCCCACCTCTGCCTTCAAAAGTGCTGGGATTACAGGCATGAGCCACCACACCTGGCTGTCTCTTAAATCTTTGAGCATAAAAGCAAACAAACAAACTACTTTGGCTAAAGTCCCTGGCTGCTTTTTAATTCAAACAATTTTTATGTGTTAGCATAGAATTCCAAAGTAGCTTTGAAGACAGTCTCTTGTTCAAACAAATTTCATGCCTTTTTCCTCATTCTTCTAATTTTTAGAAGTCTACTTTCAAAAGTAAAGTAAGTTTTAATTTGCCATCAGCAAGTTTGAGAAATGATCATTTGGTGTATTCACTCTTGGTGAAATAGAGGTTTATTGAGCAAATTAATAGGGCAAATTGGCTTCAGGAAAAGATTTTGAAAAATGTTCATCACAAGTTAGTAGTGCACTGTTATCAGTGAGATAGGTGGAACTCATTGGGATCACATTTGCAGAGTTTGTCTTCAAAATACATGTCTGCAAATACATGTATCCTCCAATCTCCACTTTCTCTCTATCTCCAGGCACTGAGAAGCCTTTTAGGAAAACAGCATCTTTATGTAAAGAAAATCATCTGAGAAGATTCTGATTTTCACCCCAACTCAATCATTTCAAATTTTGCTGCACATTGAAATCACCTGGGAAACTTTTACCAACAACCCTGATAGCCAAAGTTATATCCAGTGCTAATTATTGAAAATGAGGCAGTTATTAAAGCTTCTCAGGAGTTTTTAATGTGCAGCAAAATTTAGAGCCACTGCCTAATTTGAGTTTAAGGCAAGAAACTGCTTCTGTTTGTTGGGACCTTGGGCAAGTCGGTTTTAAGATTTGTTTCCCTGATCTATAAAATGAGTGTTGGATTAAATGTCTTATAAGGTCGTTGGTCCTTTCCAGCATATATCTTCAAATTCTGTGATTTTAAAATTATTTCAGAGATGAAAGCTACTTGAAGCACTATAGACATATCCATCTGAAGTGCTAATGTTACAGGCTTTTTAAAAAGTGCTATTACTAAAATTGAGGTTTGTCTTCCCTCAGTTATTTTGAACCTCATTGTAGATGCTGAGGGCAAATGGAAGCACATAACTTATGTAAGAGAACCTCTTGTTTTCTGATACACAGCATCAGTGGGTAACTTAGGAATACAGTTACATATCTGAAGAGTTGTATCTGTTCATAAATATTTCAGTTAAACTAACTGAAGATACCTGCTATTGATATTACACTGTGTCATGCTACATTACCTTGTTAGCACTGCTTATTTGAGGATTGCTGTACCTATCGTTGATGTCATGTGAGCTTATATTTTCTAATAATTATGCAAAAGCAATTTCAAATAATTTTATTTGTTATAAGGCACTTTCCTTATGTTATGCATTTTTTGGGAAATAATTTAAAAAATGGGTGAGTAGGAGATAGTGAACTAAACTAAAATGCAGGGCCAAACATCTTAAAAAAGAAACCACTACTGTGTGGCTGGCTGAAATTTAAACGTATGTACACATAGATATAAATTGCATGAGTCAGGGTTTGGCGGCTCAAGCTGTAATCCCAGCAATTTGGGAGGCTGAGGCAGGCAGATCACTTGAGGCCAGGAGTTTTAGATCAACCTGACCATCATGGCAAAACCCCATCCCTACTAAAAATACAAAAATTAGCCAGGCATAGTGGCACCAAACTGTAGTCTCAGCTACTTGGGAGGCTGAAGCATGAGAATTGCTTGAACTTGGCAGTTGGAGGTTGTGGTGAGCCTAGGTTGCTCTGGGCTACAGAGCAAGACTCTGGGTCACACAATAAATAAATACATAAAATAAATTGCATGTGATGAAAGGTTTTGTGGGTAGAAGAACATATAACAGGTAAATATGTTATTATTTATATATTATCATCTACGGAAACACGTTTTCTAACAGCGTATTATATTGCCTTGCATTTTTGTTCTCATATTTTTGCTAAAACCCAAGAAATGAAAACAAGAAAGTGCCCTTATAGTACTGTTCTGAACTAGAAGGTTTTAATTTCACGGCTGCTAGGAGAGTTTCCACCACACCCTTTTAAAAAATGTCTTCAGACCTAACAAATGATAACATCTATTGTTATGAATGTTTTTCCTTCCACAGTGTGGCCATGGAGATATATTATCGTATCAAGAAAAGGTGAGCTTTTTAAAAAACTGTTTTGTTATTCTGGCTAATTACTTTGCAAGCTATCAAGCTCTTTAGGTCACAGCTCTACTCATCATGAGCTGTATTGGGCCTACTAAAATATCCAAACAAATTATTTGTGTTTTCTCTGGTCCTTAACACTTTTAATTCTTAGATGATTGGGAATCTCAAAGAGTATGTATTTATATTGATGATATTGATATTTACTGTCATAGAACTATAAAATTGAGATTTTTTTTTTAAATCTGTTTTTAGTTTAGATTTCACAGCCTTACCACTGTTGAGATCTTGATCTAGATAACGCTTTGTCATGAGGACTGTCCTGTGCATTGCAGAAAGTTTAGCAGCACTGGTGGCCTGTACCAAGTAGATGTCAGTAGTAACCCATGACCCAGGTGGTGACAACAGAAAATGCTCCTTGAACAATATTGTTAACATAAAATTTTTAATGAGAACATAGATTGTCTACAATAAAAAGTTGAGTAAAAAGTGTGTCATGTATTTATATTATTGAAAACCTCGAATGTCTCAATAGAAGACAGCTGGATTCTCTAGGTCTTTCTTTGCAATTTGCTTTAAGAAGCAATAAGATGGCCAGGTGTGGTGGGAGGCACCTGCAATCCCAGCACTTTGGGGAGGCCAAGGCAGGCAGATTTATTTGAGGTCAGAAGGTTGCGACCAGCCTGACCACCATGATGAAACCCACCTCTACAAAAAATACAAAAAATAGCTGGGCATGATAGTGCATGCCTGTAGTCAAAAAAGGGAAGCAATGACATGACCTAATCTCATGCAAGTATGTAGTTGGTAAAAGGTGCATTTTAAAGCTTTTAGACAGTTGTGGGTATTTAATAATAAGTGAAAACTTGACAAGTGCTACTTTTTAAAATTAGTTGCAGTGGTATTATACATGTTAATAAATTTATTTGATCAGTAATCTGTCTTGCATGCTAAATGGATCTTTTCCCCCATATTTGCATTTATACTATCATACATTAGTTATTTGGAATATATTGGTTTATGTTTTATTGTGTCAAAAACCACTTTTAACTACCAATATTATTTTTAAAGTCTTTAAGTGTTGAAAAGCTGTCAAGCCTATAGTAGAAGGAGCGAGATTTTCAGAGTCCTCAGGAAAGCTTAATTTATCATTGGAACACATGTTTATTTTCCTTGAAGTGACAACCTCAGTTCATTTATTTTTGAGAATGATAGTTGTCTTTTTTTTTAGACTGAGTCTCACTCTGTCACTTGGCTGTAGTACATTGGCATGATCTCAGCTGAAGCAATTCTCTCACCTCAGACTCCTGTGTAGCTAGGACCACAGAGGTGTGGCACCATGTCTGGCTAATTTTGGTGTATTTTTGGTAGAGACAGAGTTTCACCATGCTTCCCAGGCTACTCTCGAACTTCTGAAGGAGCTCAAGCGATCTGCCAGCTTTGGTCTCCCAAAGGGTTTGGATTTTAGAGGTGTGAACCATTGCACCAGCACAGTAGTACTTTTAAATAAAAATGGTGTTCTGTGAAAAAACTGATTGTTCCGTCCACAATTAAATCATGAATTTTTTTTAAACACAACCAGACTGCAGTCAGCAATAGCGCTTCTTCTTAGCTTTCTACAGATTCAGAATATTAAAGAGACATGTCAAGATTTAGTAACACCATTAATTTTTACCACCTCAACAAAGACATTCTTAAGTACTTTAGACTGCTTTTTAACTGTAAGGGACAATAAAGAACAGAATTACTACCAGTGTAATTGGTACCACTGCCTTGATTTAGGCTGAGAAACCAGCAGTTTTATCCACTTTTGCTTTTATACAGTTATGGCAAGTGTCTATGAAAAAGTAGTCAGTGTCTTTGTATTACTTTCTTAATTAAAAAAAATTTTGTATCAACTTTCTGAGGTTGAATTAGTATGATTATCAGAACAGTGTCCAGCAGACACAGTGGCTCAGGCCTGTTATCCCAGCACTTTGAGAGGCCAAGCAGATGGATCACCTGA